AACTGTTTTGTGTTTCAATGACAAGACTTTTTTAAAGACGAAGTCGATGGAACGACACAACAGAATCTGTTATATCAAGTTTGACCGATATGGTCGATTTACCATTTACCAAAACTATAGGCGTGACGAAGTCGATTTTCAAATCATAAAGTTTCCGTATCTTAGGAGTATCTCCCAGCTCCCCCGCCTGTTTACATGCCACAACTCATTCAGTATTCAGGGGTTTTGTATGCTGTATTTCCAAGGATGCCAATTAACGATGAACATTGCTCCATCATGATTTGATTTTGAATTATGCAATTTCTTTGTGATATGAAGATCGACGTTTTTGACTGTGTTCGTTAGTTTACCGGGTTGTCTTGCTGTCATTACTCCAGTTCTCGCAATAAGGACGAGTCATTACTTGGATTTGACTTAGATTTACAAGGCGGATATCATTTATAGATATCATTCATACTGTTCATATTTTGCCCTAATCTTATCGATTACATTGTTGTATACAAAAAAATGATGTCAGTCAAGTGTCATTTTTAAGTACCCCGTGTGAAATGTCTAGACCTGTACACCGCTGCTCCTCTCAACAAATTTGTCATCTCATTCTAACAACAAGCTAATCATGGATGCTTAGGGTGACACCGGGCTTTCAAGAAAAACTTAGAGACACTACCGACAAAGGAGAGAAAAATATAAATATCAGAAGGTAGAGTTAGTAAGTATGTATGGTTTATCTGCTGACTTGACGATGAAACCATTCTCCAATTTGAATCGAATGTTTCACTGTACGAGTATTTCCCTTTATTATCGCAAAAATGTAACAGATTTATGGCTCATCTGGTCTTGTTTATTGAAACAAAGTACAATCACATTGATGAAACTAAGGTCCATTGTATTTGTTAAGCAAAATTTGTTTCCGGGAAGATAACTCTAACAGAAATTGTGTGTAGTATAGCGTTTTGTGACTTTCGTTGTGGGTACGAATTAACATGTAAGTGAATAGAAGGATGTACTCGTACTGATGAGACACAATCACTGGTTAATTGCATTATTTGTTGGACAACATTGGACAGATACGTATATCTTATCAAATATTGATAGTAGAGCACGTAAATGCCCCCTGGTTTAATAAATGTTAAGCTCATATTTTTAATCATTTCTTTCGCTTTTAATCTTGATAAACGGCTTTTACATTCTTAAATTCGTTCTTATTTCATAAATGATTGATGAAAGTAGTCCGGAAGTTTTAGGTTAAGCTCGCAACGGGCTCGGAAAATGACCCAGATTATAGAGTTCAATAACCTGTATGTTACTGATCATAAGTTTAACAGATACATCAATTGAATAGGGTTAAATGAGCAATATATTGTCTCAAATGTTTTTACCGCCTCACTGATTATTTGAATACATCGATACCTTTTAACTCAGAAAAATTGGTTTCCTATTCCCTGACACATATGATCGTTTTACAGCAATCAATTATTCTAATTATTGAAACGCAAGAACACCAACCAGCTTCAGTGAGTCTGATACAAAGTATATGCGACACAAATGTTATAACTTACACGCTTTAATTTCTTGAGTTTAATCCGAAGTAACCGTTGCCCTGGCTACGTCCGATTCTGGCCTCTATTATTGCAAAGTTTTGCAGACATCAGTCCATGATCTGATCGTTCAACATACAGATCGTTCTCTAACATAATCAATAGAGTGTAGTCTTTACCTAATCTCTAACAATAGTATAGAAATAATGATGTACAACTGCATGGTATCCATGGTAACATATATCATTTTATTTCAGTTGCTGTAACATTAACTTTCAATGTTAAATGTGATTACCATGTTCAGCTGGTATCTCGTTTGGTCGCTGAGATAGTTACGTACCACAGAGGATATGACAAAGACAGAACAACCGGACCATAAGAAAGTTCATTTATGTTTAAAAGTCAAATAATCGCGAAAGCAACTGAACAATATTTAGTTACAATGTAAATACTTTTTTGTGTCCAACATTCAAATTATACAGCATCAAAGTGATAGTTAACTTCTTGTAACGTCAATTGTATGAGGATTGTTTTTTGATTTTGTAATGAAAAAAAAATGATATCAGCATCTCAGAGACTTGTCATATTCCTGTTTACCCAGGAAACTATTTATGTCTCGGACATGTTTGCAATTTGACTGCGTAAAACCTTAATTAAGCAAGAAAGCCGTATAAGAATCCGTACCTGAAATGAAATAAAATGCAATCTCTAGTGGGTATAAAATATCACTAGTGCCTGGTCTACATTGTATTTTGTCATAGTCTTTGGTATGTTTTCGAAATGGAAGCCATTTCGATAATGACGTTACGTGACCAGTGTTGACGAATTTAAACACACCATTAGGATCGCCACACCTATCTCTGTCCTGGTGTCAATGACATAAAGCGTAACAACCTTAATGTACGTACTGTACAAGCACGGCTACATCTAGCTGCATCACGCTGAATACAATTATGTAAGGTTTTAAACAAAGGGTATACTTTCTAGGTTACTGAGGCTGGCTGGGCAAAGAAGAAGCATGTCTGATGGAGTGACATGCTGTCAGTTTGCCAGAAACTTAGAGAAAAAAGAACAACACTGAAATTTTCATTTCGCCAAAGATATGAAAATATACTTGGTTCAAAGTGTTAACGTGGAGCGCGTTTCGGCAGAACTATTTCATCATCAAATGTGAAGTTAAAATAATTCTCAATGACATGTTTATGTACAAAAAAGGGGTTTTAAACTTGCAAAACAAATATATGAGCTATTAATGAGACAGTAAATCGTAATAGCCGAAGGAAAGATATAGCAATGATTGATGCAGAAAGCAATAGTGTGCTATACAGATGTTTTACGTGATCAGTTTGTGACCTACTCTATCGTGTGTCTCTGTGTCTGTGATAAGGACCGGTGGACATAATGATGGAAATATCAGCGGTAGACAGAAAAGCACGCTGGGAGTACTAGTATGCCGTCAAATTTTACCGTATTTTTTGAGAAAAAAATACCATTTTGGTTAAATTGAATTCGTGTTCATTCTGCATTTCCTCCAGATCTAAGGAAGATTTTGTCCCACCAAATTCATGCCATCTAAGGCCATGTCAGAAGCGTCAATTTATCGATAACTATCATTTCGCAAATGTGATATTGAATGTCTCTTTCGGTTGAACGATTTCGATGGAACTCTCTATGTAAATGGACATTGCATCGTGCATTGCGTCACGTTTTAACCCCTGGGATAACTTTGAAAAACACAATCGTTGATCAACATATGTGAGCAAGAGTATGTATAACAAATTGTACGGTTCATTCCCTGATGTATTGAAGGAAGCTTTCATTTTGCTTTCACCAGCTAAAATGACCACATAACGTAATTTGGCAAACATGCTTTAGGTATCGCCATGTTGTGTTTTCCTTCACTTGATTGTCAGTAGTCTGGTTCGGTTTACACACGCCCCGTAGGAAATCATTAGTGTTGTACCATTGACTACAGGGATTAAAAGTACAGTAACAGGAGACCTCCTTTAAAATGCAAAGAACGCATTACGTATATACCACCGGGATTTGAAATCGGTTGTCATTTATCGTGCATGTTTGATTCAGTTTTGTGAAACGTTAAGAACAGCTCGGCCACCTTGGACTGTCAAGAAAGACGAAATCCTTCTTGTCGCATAACTTTTCACCGTAGTGACAATTCTATTCTGCTCCTCGACGACTGAGATGAAAGCAATCGCACTCATTCATCCGTTAGAGGCCTGGTGAGTCTGTTCCGCATATTTGAGCATTCGAATTCGGAGCACGTGTGTGACGGGCTCTCGATATTGGTGGTGGTGCCTGGCGTTGTATTAGCCGTCAATGAGATCGTGTCCAGATCGAACATAGAACCACTAACGCGCGTTCATAGCTAGTCGCTCACTATCTGATTTGTGCAATTGCATTACGAAAAGCATTCTTTTTTTCCTGTCAAATTCCAACCTAACATCTGTAATCCTGTAATGGTCACGTGATTTCTCTGACATATTTGTCGTGAACACGAACAAGGGCGTGTGTGCAAATGTTTGTGATTTTTAATCAGACCGTACACCAGATATCTGTAAACTTATCGGTTTATCGGGATAGTGCTGGCGAATATTACCAGTAACGACCAGACCTTGTTAGCGAGAGCCAGCAAGCCGAGCCTAACAGGATATAGACTGATACACATCTTGCCCTTGTGTTGTTGACAGACTTCATGGTCCAATAACTGAGCGATTCTTTTGTTTTTCCTCCTCCGTATACTTATTTTGCAGGTTTTTTGAACTTGATAGAATCAGAACGCGACTGGTTTACGTAGCAGCCTAATGAATAACTTACCGACGCAATCCGAAGCATGCGGCTTCATTATCAAAGGTTGATTGATTTTGTTGGAAAGAAATTATCCATCGACACGTTATATTTAGGAGCAAATAATTTATCTACAAAGAGATGGGGCGACTGATCGTGTCTATGCACTGACCACTGATACACCAGACAGATACATGTCAAGGATCATTATACTTGGTTTACGTGCAGTGTATTTTTATACTAATTAATACGCAGTGGTAATTGACGGAAGATGTCGTGTTGACGTTGTCACAATCTTGTTAATACATATCTGGATATACAAGTTTTGTTGATAGGTACTTGTTAAAGCAGGAGAGAGAAACAGATAAATTGCCCGTAGCTACACAGAATGTTCCAAAAGGAGTTTTATGTGTGATCCTTTCAGTATCGGAATTTATAATTTACAACTCGTGTGTTTAGATGTTAACTGCGAATTTCATTGATTACGTTCCGTGCTCATCACCGTGTGCGCTGCTTTGGCAGGGCATTTTTACCTTGCAACGTATAGGTGAAGGTAAATCTACAATATAGAAACCTTTCGACGTTGCTATTGAAAATCTTTTGGAAGCGGATAGTGTGTTTAAATACAAAGTGAAAGTAGGTTCGTGGTATTTGACCATGGGTCCGTGTCAGTTGATGGTGCTGGGCGTGGCACTTGTGTTGCCCTGTGTGTGTGCGACGTACCAGAATTGTCTCCACGATTCACTCCGGCGGGGAACGAAATCAGTAAAGGTCACAGATGGCTACTTACAAGGGGTAAAATGTCCACATATTCATAATTTTACCCGTGTGGAAGCTTACAAAGGAATAAAATATGCCTCCTTGAGGCGTGGCCGTATGCGATTTATGCCACCATCTTCAAATGAAAGGAAGTGGCAAGGTATTCGATTCCAGGGGTCATTAAGTATACCCTGCTCCCAGAGGGCTCTCAACTGGACCAAAATTTCACAACAACATCACCATTCTAAATGGTGGAAACAGAGGCTCTACAGGAAAATGCATGACTTCAAAATATCAATGGAGGACTGCCTCCATCTGAATCTGTTCATACCAGGTAAGTCTTGGGTTGCAAGAACAACAAGAATATGAATAAAAGCTAAAATATAGATCACAAATCACAGGAAATAGTGGGTGAGACCTGTATATCATGCATCATGTAAACTTGCGTTTGTAAAAACAATTCAAACAAATTGATACGCATTGTACATGCATTTACAAAATGAGTGCAAGCAAAATAGAAGAATGAAGTTACAGCGACAAACAACTTAATTAAAAAACAGAAAATGAAAAAAAAATTAACAGAAAAAATATTCCATGATATGTTATAAGGCACAACTTTTAATCATTTACGAATTTGAAGTATTTTAATACTGTTTCCAAAAGGTGTGTTGAAAATTTCAGAAATAAATTGTTCTTGTCCCGTAGACATGAATGCTCATATCTGAAGCAGGATATACTTTGATTATCTCCCTTAGGTTAGCCATTCTCGTCCGCTAGGGGACGACATATTCTATTCCTCTAGCATGATTTGTTACTTGCATTGTCGTGATTGTGCCGTCACAGTAACAACCATATTGGTGTAAATATATAAATGTATCTGTCTTGTTGAATAATGAAGTGAATAAGAAACTGTCTCACAATGTATTTATTGGTCCACAGATTATTTATATTGTAGCTGACCTTCACTATGGTTTAATGCATAGACATGTGTGTGAGTATCTATTTCGTAACATGTATGCAAGCAACTAAGTACAAGTAAAGCCAATTGCCAATGGGGGAAGCTTAACAATTAACGAGTATGTCCTCGTACTACAAAATACATTAAAAATGTCTGCGAAGCAAATGAATGACTTGTGAAATACACTTTAATGTATTGACTGATTATTCAAAGGAAGATCCATGTGTCTATACTCACGTTACATATATATGATCAACATCTCCAGTACATAAACAAGGAGTCGTTTCAATGAAACATCTACCTGGCCATTCAATCTACTTTGTGAGAATTCGGCTATCAATTAATCTATTAGGGATTAGAATTGATATGATTTAGTCAGCAGTGTTTTAAACCATTGCAAAACAGGTTTTGTTAACTGTAAACAATATTATTTGTTGGAGTTGAAATCTGGACG